TCACAAAGAGCCTCATTGAAGTCAGTTTTGAAGACTTTCCCGAAGGTTCAGTCCACATACACTGCCTATGATCAGTTGAAAGTGTCAATTTTGCACAAAATTTTACACGTCAGCTTCAAAGTTTTCTCAGTGGTATAAAAAGAAAGTAGCAACTCATTTATAGGCAGCACAGTTTGGCTGAGGCAAGAGCTAAACTATACTTAGCTTTAAGACTGACTGGCTGCATGACTGTTGGGAAATCATTTAACCTATTCCCTTTTCCCAAACTGCCTCTGATTCTACAAAATATTTAATGTGTGTGTGACAGTTCAATGTAGTGAAATGATTTATATAGACAGGATTGTGTGTGTCCATTTTTGCACACATAATTGTCCCACATCATTCACGGATGCAAAGTACCATTATTTTTAAATTGATATGCCTGATGTCCAAAGTTTATTTTGAAACAGCAGTATCTGAAGGAGGAATATTTCTTTTTGTTTTTCATGTCAAAATGCAAATAATGTGCATAATGCAAGTACTGCAAATGCAAACTGTAATTAGTAAAAACACGTTCTACAGGTGAATTCTCATGTGTTAACTTCTTATTACTCTCTTCCAACTGAACCTCACCTCTGAATTTAAATTTTACTTACATCATGTCTTTTAACACAGTGTTGTTAAATCAGGCTACACCAAACACCAGCACCAAACACTACTAACAACATTTAACAGTGAAACTGAGGGAGGTTTAGGTATTGTTCCCCAACTCACACAGCAAAGCAGAGTAAAACATTGGTACTTGAAGCCATAGTTCCTGAGTCAGTATAACCCTGCTCATTTTATGGCTTTTGTGGCCCCTCTTCCAGAGCTTCCCTCTTTATTTTTCATAAGCCTGATTTTCATGTAGTTGTGGAGACAACCATGACTGGTGATAAAAATTCACTGCATTGATCAGAAAGCTCTGTCTGAAAGTAACAGAGGTCAGTGATAATGGGAAGTGTTGGCCCTGATGGAGCTCTCTACCATGTGCTTGTGTGCTGCTCTTCAGAGTCATCTCAATTGCATCTCACAGTTCCTGAGCCCTAATACACAAAACACACAGATTATTTTCAGTCAGTTAGTAATTTCTAATATCTGTGCTGAGAAACAAGGTGAAAGATAAAAAACCCTCCAGAAGACATAAATTTAACATAAACTACAGGAGGTTGATCTGTCCTCCAGTGAAATCAAACTGCAATCTGGACAGAGAGCTGGACATAAGGCTGTCATCAAGGCCGCCCTTCCAAGCACAAACACGATTATTAAGAAGAGAGGCATCTAAAACCTTAATCAGGTGCTAGCACAATGTACTTATTAAACATTTTTAACTACAAATCACAGGCCCATAGATGGCCATACCTTTGTGCAAGAAAGCTGGAGTTTCCAGAAATAATGTCAATGGAAGTCTACAGTGTGTGTGTGTTCACAGTGCTTCCATGTATTTGCAGTAGACAGAAGACTACAAAAGGTGTAAGTTCCTTTCTATTATACATATCTATTACATTGTATCTGTTCCTTTTTATTATATATGATCAGTGTCACCTAACATTTAGTGGAAAAGAAGGGAAAAATTTTTCTCTCACAGAAAGTCTTGAGTTTTCCCATTCAAGAGCTGCAATGCATCATTAACTTCTATACAGAAAACATTGTTCACTCCAACCAGCAATTAGTGGCAACATTTCTATCCTGTGCAGTGATGAGATTTTTATGCTAATCATTACACAGCAGTAAATTAATCATTTGGGCACATTTAGATGGTATGTATATTTCATGAGACAGATATAGATATCAAGATCAGTTTGATATTTACTTATGGTAAATGGAAGTGTCTCAAATCGCTATGGGGGAAGCATACTAACTAAATACACAGCCAAGGATGTTTGTAATAGAGCAGCAGCATCAGCACTGCTTCAACTCTCTGTTTTTAATTATTTTAAGGGAGCTAAAAGTCTTGTGAGAACACATTGAACGCAATCATTCAAAGAGACAGTGAAATGACAGTATTGTCTTGGCACAATGAAGGACAAAAGCAAACCTACCCTGCAATTCTTCTTTTATTACTGGCAAAATTACTTACATTACATTATGCAGTATTGAAAACAGATTTTTCATCAGCATTTGTACTATAGTCTAGTCAAGTAAATGAATTATGTATTGGCCTTGTCCCTCTGTAACTGTGTCTGAAGCTCTGAGTTGTAGCTGAAAGGAAGATACCCAGGGGCCTCCCTTATCAGCAGATGCAAGAGATTTGTAATACCTCAAGGAAAATTACTATTTGAAATTTAAATTTTTGACGTATATTTTAATACTAGTGCTGGTTTTTCAGGCAGATCTTTGCAGGCAAAACCCCAAATGTTTATTGGAGGGACATGTACCCATGATCCCTTTGACCTAGAACATTATCAAATTACCTATGATAAGTACAGATTTATGGCAGATGACCCTCACAATAACATAATAAATAATAAAATTATGTCCTAAGGTACTACTTTCTCAATTAAAAGTTGAGAAAGATTCTCAAAGATTAATGGCATGTGAGTGGAAGGCAAAGTTCTGTTGGCTTACCTGGATCACCTCAGAAGTGCTCTTGAATTGAAAATTGACCAAGTGATACATGTTTAATGGCCACTAATTGGAAGAGTATAATTGCTACACTGAGCAGTGGTAAAGATAAGCTACTGCACAGATGGTATGAAATCCCACTGGGAAAGAGAATAAATTTATTAGCATCTCCTCGTTTATGGAATTTTTTGAGAGAGCTACATCCAAACAGGCAGATTATCAGGAGAGCACTATGGACAGATGAACTTTTAGGTCTGAGAACTAAAACACATCAGAAAAAAATGGGAGAATCAGAGATAATGTCTTATTTTAATGAAATCTGGTTTTACAAGTGAAAAAAAAAATCTTTGTTTTTCAATTTCAGAGATTAAATATTTTTATTTTCATTATTTCCATAAAAATAACATGGGAGTTTTGATTTTTGAAATTTTTTTTCCAAAACCAATGCTTCTTTCTAGAGCTGTGTAACTGAAGCTGACATGAAGGTTACAGTTTCTTCAGGGGCATCATGATCTTGATTTTTACAGTCTCTCTTACGTAGCTGTTCTGCTTTTGGCCTGGGAATGGTTAATTTTCTTACTTAGGAGCTGACAAGCATATCTTGACATGTGCTGTGGTGCCATGTGCACACTTGTAGTGTTATTCTCCTTTGCAGAGGAGTGCTCTTGACTCCAGAGATTTTCTGTTTGACTTGAGGCAGTGGAGAAAAACACAAATAAACACCATTTCCAAGAGAGCATAGGTTAAGATTTGCAACCATATAGGTAACTTCACAGAACATCTTTCTGAATTTCTGATATAAAAAGCCTCATACCCTGAGGGAAAAGAATATGGAACAACAATTCAGGAAACAGTCAGTCACATTGTGTAAAGGACAAAAGGCTGGATTTGGAGACAGCTGAGGATCTGTCAGTGGTGAGCACCACTAACAATGCTCTTGTCAAGGAAAGAGAAACATAGACATCACGCCTTGAAAGCAGAGGAAATCTGCTAACTTTATTTCAATATTGTTTCTCTAAAAAGATAGAGTAGAGCATCTCCAGGCAGCTTTTATGCTCTCAAAATGGTTTGGAGGGAATACTGAAATAGTTAATAAATTTGATGGAAAACAGCTATTATCACAGTAAACAGATACCATGATTATGAATTCTGTAAAAATGAATTGCTCATTATTCAGCTATTGCTCAACAGCAGAACTGATTAACAGCACTAGGGACTGCCTGCTATTTGGTTTAACACTCCGTGATCGTAACATTAGTTGTTTGGTGCTGATTATATTGTAGCAGTTATTCACATCACTAAGTTTGCTTATTGTAAAATTGAAAATCACAAACAAGGATCACGTCACAAGGAAATGAGCAGAAATCATATGCTTTAAAATATTCCCCAAGACCAGTTATACTTTCTCTACAGATATGCCTGAAACTCATCTGAATATTCATAATCTCAGTAAGCAAGAAAAAAACCCAACCCCCAAACCAACAAAGTATATAAGAATTCAGATTCCCAGGTTAATCCCTCCATCAAAGTAAATTTGTACCAGCATCCTCTAGCCCAGCTTCAGCAAGGGAGACCATCCCTGCAAGTGAGGGGCAGCTAGGAATGGCTTCAGGACTCTGAATCAAAATCTGCTCTTACACTTTGCTTGGATATCAGCTGGCAAGACCTGAAGGTCACAAATCACAGCCGTGTGCTGTTTCTGAAACATGGCATTTCACAGAAAAACTGCCACACAAAATTCTCTGCCTGTCACTATGGTGAGTCTTCCATGAGAAAGAAAAAGACACACATGGCTTTCCATGAGGAGGTGCCCAAAAAAACACAGGAGAGCTGAGATTGCTCTGTTGGCTTTCTATTCTCTGTGTCCTGGTTTATCTGAGTCTTAGATGAACCTCTCATAAGATCTAAAAATGAACCTGAATGAAAACTATTATGCTATTTTAGTATTTTGACTATTATTTGACCATTCTACCATCTATTACCATTTAAAAAGACAAGATTAATTTGTCCTATAATCTGAAAACTTCTAGAAACTACAGCATTATCTAAAAGCAGGGAAAAGAAAGGGCTGTTTGGTTAATAGTACATAATTCCAATGCATACAATGAAAGAGAAATAAAACCAGTAAACGTGTACACTAAATCAATACAGTAATTATTCCGATGCAAAAAATTTATTTGGTATATTTTTCCTGCTGCACAAGATCACCGTGCATACAAATGATTATTATATCATAGTCAAAAAGTTATCACATCTTCATCTGAAATTTAAGAAGTACTTAGAGGAATACATTTAAGTGAAAATTACAAATGGAAGAGATCAAAACAGGAAAAAGAAGCATGAATGTGTGAAAGAGAGTGTGTTTTGAGGAAAACAGATATAATAATAAAGCAGAAAATCAGGGTTGTAGAATTTTCTACAGCTGTAGTCCACATGCATTAGTGGACTTAAAATCTTTACTGAAGAACAGAAATCTTCTTTCTTGCTGTTTTATTACCTTGGCAACATATCCTCCATGTCAGCAATTACATAGGAGACAACAGTCCAAAGAGCAGCACAGAGATTCATCTGGTTTGGATCCTGAACTGTCATCGTGTCCCCTTGAGAATGATGAAACCAGAAGTATTTATTGATGTCACTGTGCAAGCTGGCACCTGCAGAGAAAAATGGGCAAAGTTCCATTATAGGAATACAAATATTTAAAGAGGAATATAAACTTGAACCTGTTCCTGGGCTGTTTATGAATAAATCCGTATGCAACTGTATCAAATCCATGATCAATTTGAAATAAAATAACTGTACAAAGCTGTGCCATGTGCATTTTGTAGGTTTTAGGTTAATTGACTCGTGTGAGCATGAGGCAGCAAAAATTCGCACTGGGGAAAAGCCAACCTTCCCCTGGGAGACTCATATCCTCAGCAACGATATGCATCCTTTTTCTTCTGAAACGAACAGACTTCAAGCAGGAAAATCCCTACAGTAACTCCACAGCAGCGCTTCCCCTGCTCTCCACTGCTGAGTTACAACTGATTTCTGAAACCTTTCCTTGCTGTTATTTGTGTTGGGGAACACTTTGGAATTTGCTTCTGCTTTTGAGCCCCTGTACATCACAAGGAGGTGCTATTTCAGAACAGGCAGATAACCTGGGGTAACCCAGGTAGCCCAGGACTACATTCCTCTTGCAGTCAGGAGTCCTCATAAGACGGGGCAGAAGCAAGTTGAGTGAAATCACAATTTTTCCCTTTCAAGAACAACTTATTCCCTCTAGGACCACATGGGCAGGGAAAGAACTACTTTTCCCCAAGCCAGGTGGGCTCAGGGAGCACAAATAATGCTTGCAAGGCATCACTCAAGGCAGACCAAAGCCAAGAGGAGCTGGAGAAGGTGACTAGGAGCTGCAGCAGAGGTGCTGGCAGAGGATTGGCTATTTTAGCCCCGACTATTCTCTGCTCCAGTGCCCACTGACCCTCTCTAAACCCCTGTTCCCTTTAATTTCTGCCTCTCCTCCAGTTTTATCAGCCTCCATCAGCTTTGTTGTAATGTCAACAACCATTCCATCATTAACAGAATTCCACATCAAATTTTGAAAATAAGTAAATTTGGTATTTTCCCACACACACTCATTCACTGCTTGCAATTCCTTTGCATTGATTTCTTTGTCCTGCTCCCCAACTAGGGCCAGGGAAGGACCCACTTAGCACAAGACCCACTCCTTTCTTGGTCTACAAACCCAGAGAACTGGTGTAAATTCACAAGTAAGAGCTATGGACTGCAGACAGAAACACCGACTGAGGGTACTCCTGCCATGCCAAGCAAGAAGAAAAGCCTCAGGACTGTCTGACTATAAAGATGAAGTACATAAATTATTAATATATTTATTTACATGCTGTGGAAATCAGTATCAGATGATGAGGGCTTTGATAAACTCATATGTGCTCGTAAGACTTAATGTTATGATTTTTCTTGGTTTTCCTGAGATGCCTGAAGCCTTTGAAGAGAATGAAAGCAAAATTTCCCACAGCATAACTGTACATTTCTATAATATATGTCTTTTGATCACTCAAACAATCATGCAGAACAGCGTCCAGCTCTCCCTGTGGGTAACAGGCATGTTTCTCTTGCTCTAATAGGGACTGACTTGGATGGCTCAGTTCACTGCTATTTTAGAGAAGGAATAGAAAGTAAATGCATTTTAATTCCACCCATGGTGAAGATCCCTTCATAAAGGAGATGACAAGCAGAAAGACCAAATGCTACAGCATAAGGTTATGCAGTATTGTGATTGATTTTATCTTAAGAAGCTCTTCTTGTTCTTAATTGACCTGTTTGTTCCTGACTTGAAGCATGGCAATCCCACACAAGTCACTGGGTAAGTTACAGGTGCTGAATTATGTTCTAATAATTTTAGCATTAAATTTATATCAAGTCATAGTAACTTTTAAAATTTTCTTCTGAATGCTTTTAAATATATAAAATCATAAAAGGATTGTACAATGATAAATTCTTTAACCAACGGACTTCTGCACTACAGACACATTATAAGCTAACCTGTTGAGGCAACCCTGTTACTGTTTTTGAACACTTCTGTAAGACTCAAGACAAAAATTGCCCAGATTTTGTCATCGAAATTTCACTAATCAGAATAACTATGGATTTACAGAATAGCACTTTATTCCTGTGAATGGAACAAAACCAAACACCCTTTGCTTTGTCATGTTTACCTCTCTTAAACACTGGAAAAGATTATTTTTTTGTCTAAATTGATTTTATAAATCAGAAAATTATCGACTTTGACATCAAGCAATCACTGTGGAAGAAAATCAAAAGGTTCTCAAACTGGCCATGCTGTCTGTGCCATGTTGTGAGCTAGCATTGAAGCCAGTGACCTGCAAACATCTTGAGAGAGTAAGGAAAAGACCCTAATAAAGCAGTTTTATCCAATGTAATTAGAAACAAAAGTGAAAATCCATGTTCTGTGCACAAAAAGAGCTCACAGCTGAGGGCATCACACAAACCTCTGGACATGAAGCACTCTGGGGCACAGATATGACTGCAAGCAATTTTCGTTGCAAGGAAGTTTCCTGCTTCAAAGCTGAGCCTCCCCCATGCTGATGTCAGCTGCCTGCAGACATTTCTGCTGCCAGGGGCCACCAGGCTGCAGTGAGACTCTGACCAGTGCCCTTTCCCCAGTAAATGCATCCAGCACTGAGAACAACCCTTGCAGATGACATGAAGAGGGAAGTTCTGCAGGGCCCTGCAGACTGCAGTCATGTTGGGTTACCTCAGTAAAGTCCATGAGGACCTACAGCCTCTTTTCTAAAAATCTAACAGAAAAAGCAATGCTGGGAGCATAATTTTTTGTTCTTGTTGTTTTGTTGTTGTTGTTATGCAACATTTGCCTCAAGAACAACAATCAATAACAAATGGGGACTTATTTTCACCAAGCTAGGAGTCAAGTAAAACAGATGAGGAGCCATGGCTCACAGACCTATAAATTATTCACCCACGCCCATGCTAGCCACCTAGAAAGGGAACAGCATAAACCCTTGAAAGAGTCTGTAAGCTTTAATTAAGTACTTAAAAACTCTCCATTGGGTGGTGTTATGTAGGGGTGTACCACATATCTAATTCTGATTTGCAGGTGGAACCAATACTTGAGCAGAAAACCAAGAGATGGGCTAGGTGCTACACTGTCACATTTCATTCACTTTGCTCCTTTTCCTGCGTTTGCAGAGCAGCCATAAAGAAAAAAAAGGGGGATATTTGCCAAACAACTCTCTTTAATTGTCCTTTTTCACTCTGTTCATTTTTGCAGCAATTCAAGTCACATGAGGAATGCTGCTGACCAAAAAGGAAATCAGTGAGAATGTGCTTCTAGCTGGATATAATAGGTGCTGTGGCATGAAAACAGGGAGTGTTAAAAAGTGGTGCCAAAAATGCCATATGTATTACTTGAATGCATAAAAAACACTGGAAATTAAAAACTGAAGAAAATTAATAATTTACACCTTCAATAAAATAATACAAATATAATACAAATAATACAAAGATAATTCATAGTACCATTACAAGGTGACAGAAAGCCCTCTTTAGCACTAGTTTACTTACCTAATTTAATGCATGTTACTGCATCAGCAGCTATCTAGTGCCACTGGTGATCCCCAGGGTCAAACACTAGGACAAGTTGCCCAGAGAGGCTGCAGAGCCTCCATCCTTTGAGATATTCAAAGCCTTACAGAACATGGTCCTCAGCAACCTGCTGCAGCTGACCCTGCCTGGGCAGGGGAGTTGGACTAGGCCAGCTCAAGGAGTGCCTGCCAAACTCAGCCACTCTGTAGCACTTTAACCCATGGTGCCCTGGATCTTTCAAACATCTCTTAGAAATAATACAATGTAAAAAAAAAATTCTTTAATTCAAGTTCATTCCTGTCATGTACTCATTTGATGATTCTCTGCATAACCAGCTATGTCATACTTGGTTTGATGCACTGCATAAGGTAGGTAAAAGCAGCTGCTTTGGTGATTCATACTGACCATGTATTTTTAGTAATCAGCTATGTAAGAGTGTCTTGATGGAAATACACACACATTGAGGAATTCTGAAAAACAGTCCATCCCTTCTAGCTTCTGCTCTCAGCATGAAATGTCAAATGCAAATAGTCATTAACTGATGATAAGGATATTGACTTGCCTTACAATGTGTTCATATCAAAAACCAATTCTTCACACATTAATAAACTGACAAAGGTCTTACTGCCAGCTTAAGAAGATGAGATGCTGCTATTGAGGTAAGAGGATGCATGAACCACAAAACAAATGATGGGCATGTCAGTGATGACCACTGCTTCTTGTCAGGCACTACTGCCTTCATAATAAGTCATAACTAGAATGAAACTCTATTGACAGATATTTAAGTACTCAAATTATTGTCATTTGTGCAAACAATGACTGGAAAAGCAGATAATGATTATCAGAATGATTACAAAGGCAGTTTCCATAACATACAAATATCTTCAAGGGGGAAAGCATACAGTAACTTCAGAGTAATTTTACATCTTAAAACATTTTGCATTACATGCCTGCCTACATTTTCTTTCTTTCTTTCTTTTTATACCCCAAACAGCATTCAATTGGCAAAGGAAGCAAAATGTGAGTTATCGAGTCAATACATGTTTGTTACTGAGTTATATCAACAGCTTCCCAGTTGTCTGTGCTTTCAAGTAAACTTCACAGCTATGCCATGAATCCTTCAGATACAATGGGAAAATCCCCACTGTTTCTGTAACCTCTCTTGGGTGTCCTGGGTCTTCAGTATAACAGCCAGACCTCTGGGATACTGACCTCTGCATGTACGTTGCCTTATACAGTCAAGTTAATATGCTAATATAATAAAAGCATGTAACTTTTTCAGCTTTCATTTTATAGTTGTCCCTAGAGGACCTGACAGAATCGCCACTCCATTATTTTATGCAGTATATATATAGCTCTCCAAAGAGAAAATACCCCAGCTCAGATACACTCTAAACAGACAAGAGAGACTGAAGGATAAAAGGGGCATGCAGAGATGAAATGACACATTCGTTTTCTCACAGCAGCTGAGAAAGGAATAGAGGCCAGACATCTGAGCTGAGGCCAGTGTCCTGTTGAGTAAGCT